TATATATATATATATATATATATATATATATATATATAAAAGCGAAATACCCCTCACGCCAGGGGTGGGATTTAAAATGTTTAACAACCGGTTCTGTGGGTGTGGCTTAGGTGGTGGGCGTGGCTTGGTGGTCATGTGACTGGCTGGGCGTGGCCAACTCAATATCACTCACATCGAGGCACGCATCTCCTCGCCTGGCCTCTCATGACTGTGGGGATGCTGCAACAGTCGTAAATGTGAAAAATGGTCATAAGTCACTTTTTTCAGTGCCATTGTAACTTTGAATGGTCACTCCACACAAGCAAAGTATCAGCAAAGGAAGGGACAAAAACTCCAGAGACGTTCCTGAGACAGGAAGTCCAGTCCTGCCAAGAATGTAATAAGGGTTAACGGAGAGGCAGTTTCTGTAAGCAACACCAGAATGTTTCCTTCCTGCCTTCCTTACAGGATTAGGCCAGTAATTTCTTCTAACAACCGGTTCTCCGAACTGCTTAGAATGTTAACAACCGGTTCTAGCAAATAGGTGCGAATTGGTAGAATCCCACCCCTGCTTCACGCATCATGACAAAATATCCAGGACCGTAAAGCCTACAAACTTGAAATTTGGCACGTATGTTCCTCTTGGCTTCTAGGTGCTCACTAAGAAAGGATTTTTCGAAATGACCATCAGAGCATTAGTATTTCCTATATTGTTATTATTAACACGCTCTGATGCTAAGGAGTTCTACTCCCCCTCCCCACCTGAAAATAAATCTCTTCCAAATGCAAAACACAAGCAGAGGAGAGGAGTTTCAGTTTCACAGTAGCAACCAGCTTTAGTACAGAACAGTTGAGCTAAGCCACGCCCAGGCTCCTTGCTGTCTCCTTCTTGCTTACACAGCAAGTACTGTTTCAGTTTCCAAACAGCCCTCAACTCTCTCACACACTGACAGGACACTAGCCAGTTGAATACCGATGGATGCTAGTAGGCAGAGGCAGAATTTCCCCCCCACCTTATTTTCCTCCCCAAAAACTAAGCACGACCACATGGTTTCGTTGCGAAGCACAGGTATCGAGCTAGTTCATTATGAATTAGGGTAGAATGTCTCTTCTAAGATGATACCTGATAGTGTTGTTTAACCCCACTGGCTTTACAAGTTCAATTGTTCATATTAAGTGAACATATGAACTGGGTATTGTAATATTTGTTGGCCATCCCACCTGGAACCACATATTTAGCATTGCGAAAAAGAGGGCTTAGTGCTGGTTGCCCTTGATTTACAACGGTTCATTTAGTGACCGTTCAAAGTTGCAACGGCACTGAAAAAAGTGATGTGGGGCTGGGTTTTTTTCCACGCTTATGACCGTCGCAGCATATCCCCATGGCCACGTGATCAAAATTCAGGCGCTTGGCAACTGACTCATATTTATGACGGTTGCAGTGTCCTGAAATCTTGTGAGACCTGCTGACAAGCAAGAAGAAGAAGCCAGATTCGCTTAACAACCATGTTACTAACTTAAAAACCACAGTGGTTCACTTAGCAACTGTGGCAAGAAAGGTCATATAACGGGACAAAAGTAACTTTGCAGGGGAGCTCAATTGTGGTCATAAGTCAAGGACTTTAAAGACGAGCTCCGGTTACTCGTGCTTCTCTTTGGCCTGGATTGCTTCTGCACGCTTTCCTTTGCACACTAAATCACAAGTGTGAGAAAATCCTGTGCTTCCTCTTTGCCAAATTTAAATGTGCTTTCAGAAATCTGTTAAGGCTCCCCTTTTTTTTGCACGCCAAACTGTTTTTCTATGCCGTTCCACTTAGTGCCCAGCCTTCTCTGCAAGCCCTACTTCTCTGTCCTGCTCGGATTAGTTTTACTTTTGTGTGTGTGTGTGTGTGTGTGTGTGTAATTTATCCTTTTTTTTCTTCCCCAGTGGGCTATTCATTACCATTCACGACAAAGGACACATTGCCACAATGCTGAATTCCTGGCCTGAAGACAACATAAAGGTAATGAGGCTGATTGATTTCCTTTTAATGGGGAGGGTGGAAAAAAAAACTTCTATTTTTTGTGGAATCGGAAACCTATTACAAATGAGCTACCTTTTTAAAGCGAGACTGCTTGGAGCAGCAGGGAGTATATTAGGAATAATTAAGGATTGCCCTTGATCTTAGATGGATTATAGCACTAGCACTTAGACTTATATACCACTTTATAGTGCTTTACAGCCTTCTCTAAGTGGTTTAGAGTCAGCCTGTTGCTCCCAACAATTTGGGTCCTCATTTTACCCACCTCGGAAGGATGGAAGGCTGAGTCAACCTTGAACCTGGTGAGATTCGAACTGCCAAATTGCAGGCAGCTGGCTGCAGCAGAAGTAGCTTGCAGTACTGCACTCTAACCACTGCACCATGGAGGCTGTCTATATATTACGTCTCTTTGACGCTCATCAGCAGGAGAGGACAAATCAGTTTGAGAAGACAAGACAACGTGACACCACTTTGCTGTGTGAGAGTGCCTACCTCCAAGCTAGATTCAGGTCACCGACAATGTAAGTGACTTTGGGTCAGTTTCTCTCAGTCCCACTCACCTCCTAGGGTTGTTGTGGGGAAAATAGGAATGCAGAAGTGTGTTTGTTTGCCACCTTGACCCAAAGGTGCTTTTTTTTTAGGAGGCAACTGCACTTTCTTGTTCTTTCTTCTTTTGAAGACGTTTCGCTTCTCATCCAAGAAGCTTCTTCAGCTCTGACAGGACAGAGGGGAATGGAAGGATTTATCTTCCTTGTAGGCAGCTGGTCATTTTCATCCTTTTAGAAGGTCGTTGAGGCCACTTGGAGGTTTATCTATATCCTCAGGGTCACCTGAGTTAGTGTTCCTGGTTCCTGTAGTCTGTAGTTTTTCCTCTGGAAATCTGTTCATATTCCCAGGCCATTCAAAGGGTATTCATCCCAAATTGTATTGCTAAAAGTCTATAGAGATTCTCAGTCATCTAGATGATGGTTGTCTCAAAGGTGCTTTTTTCAGGAGGCAACTGGACTTCCTTGTTCTTTCTTCTTTTGAAGACCTTTCACTTCTCATCCAAGAAGCTTCTTCAGCTCTGACAGAATAGTGGGGAATGGAAGGATTTATATTCCTTGCAGACAGCTGGTCATTTGCATCCTTTTAGAGGGTCATTGAGGCCACTTGGAGGTTTATCTGTTGTCCACAGGGTTGCCTGAGTGGTGCTCCTGGTTCCTGTAGTCTGCAACTTTTTCCTCTGGAAATCCATTCCTACTCCCACGCCATTCAGAGGGTATTTCATCCCAAACCTTTGGGACAACCACGATCTGGATGACTGAGAATCTCTACAGATTTTTCGCCACCTTGAGTTATTTATAAAAATAATCAAGGCAGGATAAAAATAAAATTTAAGATATAACGAAGATTCCACTTCTGAGCATGAGTAATTGTGACTCCTTTAAAAAAAAAATTAACTGAATCTCTCTTGTCTACATTGAGTAATGTAGAATAATAGTTTCTAGGCAAAAAATAGTTTTTCCCCAACCCCCTCTTTTTTTTTTTTTGCATTTAGAAACTTGGCATTTCCATAGTAACATCTCTCCACGGTGCTCTGAAGGAGACAGAATTCATCCACACGCCCCTCCGTAAGACTGGCAGCCTTCACATGCCGAATTAATTTTGAAGAAAGGAGTTTTAGCCTTTGTAAATGAGACGTTTGCATAATGAAACAAGAACTTTTCAGAATCTAAGCCAATCAAGCTAAAATCAGCCATGTGGTTAAATTGGGGTTTGCTGCTTTTCAAAGAACAGGTTCTATGGTAGGACTATCCTTTGATTTTATCAGGATTTAAGATCAAAGAGTGACTCATAGCTTTTTGATCCCATGGCTGCCTCATTCCTGATGATAAGTGGAAGACTGACATTCGGTTCAAAAACCACACCAAAGCAAATAGGGTTAGAATTCAGACATCTCACCTGCATTGCAAAATACGGGTGGATATCTAAAATTCAGAAATAGAACATGTGAAGCTGTTGCCTTTATTTGTTTGTTCGTTTATTGTATGACATCATGGACTAGCAATATATATTAACATTTTACCTAGATTAGTAAAACATAATAAAATACAAATCTTAAGCCACCGTGGCACAGTGGTTAGAGTGCAGTACTGCGAGCTACTTCTGCTGACTGCAATCTGGCAGTTCAAATCTCACCAGGCTCAAGGTTGACTCATCCTTCCATCCTTCCAAGGTTGGTAAAATGAGGAACCCAGATTGTTGGGAGCAATATACTGACTCTGTAAACTGCTTAGAGAGGGCTGTAAAGCGGCATATAAGTCTAAATGCTGTTGCTATTAAAAAGATATATGTTTAGTTTAGTTTACCTTATTGTTGCTGCATCTCATACAATGAAATCAAACACCATCTTCAGTGCACATCATGACCATGAAAATAAACACAAACACACATCCTTCACACTCCACACATTGAATTGAAAACCCCCGACACCGCACCAACACTGCACTATACAGTAGAATTCAACAGAGCTACTGCCCTGGGATAGAAGCTGTTTTTCAGCCTATTTGTCCTTGTTTTTATTATTCTGTACCGTCTGCCAGATGGTAATAGTTCAAAAAAGGGGGGGGGGTGTCCAGGATAAAATGGATCTTTGAGAATGTTTTGAACTTTCTTATGGCAGCGGGAGCTATAAAGCTCTTCCAAAGAGGGGAGAAGGCAACCCATGATCTTCTGGGCAATGACATTAACCCTCTGGAGTGCTTTCCTATCTGCCACTGTGAAATTGACAAACCATACACAGGTGCAGTAAGTTAAGATTCCAATGTCTAGGCCAGGGTTGAGGAACGATGGCCCTTTTATAATCTGTGGACTTCAACCCCCAGTGTGACCATGCTGGCTCAGGAATTCTGGGAGTTAAAGTCCACAAGTCATAAAAGGGCCATCGTGCCCCACTCCTTGTCTAGGCCATCTAACCATTGAAGCACATCATCATTTATATTTAAAAAAAATCAGATACTGGACCAGTATAGGCCCTCAGCTTACAGCTAGTCACGGTGTGTGATCTACAGTTTGACATGGGACGTCACAGTCACGCTGAAGGGAGGATACCATAATGCCCCATTTATACATAGAGTCCCAAAAGACACCATATGAGGTACAAATCATAGCTGTTGCCTTAAGTCATACTGTCAATGGAGCCAGTTGAATGTTGGCTACTGGCTAATTGTGCCTTTTTACAGCTCTTACTACATATCTTTTCCGCTTCTCTTCAAGATGCCAGTTTCCTGGACTTCATTATATGTGCAAAACAGACTTGTCTATCTTCTGTGATTCTTCCTTAAAAATGATTTTGACACACCCGTAAGTTTGATGACCCAAAGGATGGCTGTCCTCACCCATCCATCCGTTCCAAAAAGAAATAGATATGGCTTTACATAACCTGAAAATTTCTCCATTCCTCCACACATGGACCCAAATTTAGACTGTAATTATAACCAAGATATTCTTTAGTGCCCATACACCTGGTCTTCTTCAAGTTAAACTTGACTCATGAGGTTATGGATGTACTGTACCATACAGTTTTCTTGCAATAGTACAGAAGTGATTTACCAATATATGGTCTCCTCGACTTACGATCAAGTCCAAAATTTCTGTCACTACATGAGACGGTTATGAGTTTTGCCTCATTTTACAACCTTTCTTGCCACTGTTGTTAAGTGAATCGTGGCAGTTGTTAAGTTAGTCACACAGTAATTAAGTGAATCTGGCATCTCCATTGACTTTGCTCATCAGACAGTCACAAAAATGGATCACGTGACCCCAGGATTCTGCAACCATCATAAGTATGAACCGGTTGCCAAGTACCTGGATTTTGATCATGTGACCATGGGGATGCTGTAACTTCAGAAGTTGTGGTTTCCCCATCTCTGGAGGCTTTTAGAAAGAGACTGGACAGCCATTTGTCTGAAATGGTATAGTTTCCTGCTTGAGGAGGGAGTTGGACTAGAACAGGGGTTGCCAACCTTTTGGACCTGAAGGACCACCAAACTCATAATTTTAAATCCTGCGGACCAGAGACCCTGGGAAAATCCCCAAAAAAAGTCTGCAGGAAAATTCCCCACCTCATTTTCCTACCAATCGATCATTATTTATTTGGGATCGCAGGATACCGTTTCCAGCTCCGTTCTCAGGGGAAGAGAGAAAGAGAGAGACTTTTGGTTTCATGCAAGGAAAGCAGCAGGAGCAGCAGAAGTCTTTCTTTCTCTCCCCCAAACTCAACCAGAAATGAGTCTTTGCCGGCGCAGCCACTTGGAGCAGGATGCCTTGCTGGGTCCCAAAGACTCATTTCTGGCAGAGTTTGGGGGAGAGAAAGAAAGACTTTTGCTGCTTTCCTTGTGTGCAGCCAAAAGCAGAAGAAGAAAGAAGCTGAAAAAGCAGCAGAAGAAAGAAGCTGAAAGAAGCAGCCTGGTGGCCAGGCCAGGTGCGTGGGGTGAATGGGGCAAGTTCCCCCCTCTGCCCTTTCCCCCCTCCCCTCACTACCTTAGGTTGTTCGCAATGCAAGTGACGCAAGCCTTGTGTTCCCATGCAGTCTGGATTAATTGCTTTGGGGGTGACATTTCTCTGTGGACCACCAAAATTTTCTCATGGACCACCAGTGGTCCCTGGTCCACTGGTTGGTGACCACTGCACTAGAAGACCTCAAAGGTCCCTTCCAACTCTGTTATTCTGAAAGGTTAAAGGTTACTAGAGAGCAAGACCGAGAGAAGGAGAAAAATACTAAATAATATTTGACATTCCTGGAATAGTGACTTATTGCCCACATCTCAAAACAAAGAAATCCACATCAATAGCGAGTTTTCACTGCATCTGTAGTATGTTTAATAAGGTCAGTGAGACTCAGATGCCCCTCAGCTAGCAAATTCAAAATATTCAGACCACAAATTTATATTCAGGTCAGCATTGTTTTTGTGTGTGTGTAAAGGGAAGGGCTTTTTTCTACCCACAGCCCAGGCCACAAACAATTATCTGTAGATGCATTCTTGTGGAATTGATTTCTTCAGCGGAAAACAACGGAGTGATCTAAAGAAATGGAAAAGTTTGATTCCCATTCATGGCTTTCATTGTTTTCTATCAAACAGCGATGCCCGTTTGTTTTCAGCAGAAAAAAGAAAACCACAAGCCATATGGCAGATGTTTAAATCCTTCCAGGGGTTCTGCCTTTAATCATCTGTAATACGTTAATATTTTTAAAGCAAAATTCCTTGTCAGCTAGAGGAAAACAATACCTATAAAGTCTATCTCTAAGCATACCAGCATCTCTTATTCTCTTCCAACCAGTCCCTAAAATAGGTAGATCTTTTGAAATAAGAGATGGCTTACTTTGGGGGATAGGATAGGATAGGATAGGATAGGATAGGATAGGATAGGATAGG